TCACGTTGTTAATAAAATGAATAGTTTTCAATATTTCACCGGTAAAAGTGTTATAATTTTTATCCACATTTTATTTCTTACCTAAAGAGCATTCAACAAGTGAGTGTAAACACTCTCTTTGCTTTTGTCATGTTTCGTTGTTTATTTTATCATTATCCCTGAAACAAATCATTCCACTTGCTAAATTTTGGGACACCTGCGTCGATCAAGTGACCTATTCTAATCGCCTTTCGTCAGGCGTTGTGCGTCATGCTTCGAGCGTAAAAAAAAATACTTTGGACTTCTTCTCAGAATAATCATGACAGGGCTGACCCCCAAAAAGACCAGAGGGGTAGAACCAAGATAGGTCACAGAGTGCAAAACCTTCACAGCACTTTTCCTCTAAAACTAACTGGTGGATTTTCACCAATTCTACATGCATGTAAAAAGATGCTTAGATGACGAGAACCAATATGTATACTCAGGACGGGGCTGTCGAAAGGTTGCCAGGGGCTAATATAAGCTTTACGAATTATTAGAGAAGAAACCTTCAAAAGGCTTCTCTGAAACTAACTGGTGGTTTTCACCAATATTTTATAGAAAGAGCATCCGCTGATGAGCTGATGATCTTGGACAAAAAACACAGAATCAAAGTTCATCATATGATGTAAATTCACTTGCGATACAAGGGAGATAACTCTTTTAGGTTTCAAAGAATTTGCGTTTTAAGGCTTAGTCATGAAAATAATTCGCTGTTATAACATTTAAGACAACCAACGGTATCAAATATTCAAATTTTATATCAAATACTAGATACAGACCCGTACACGTTTGCTGTTCCACCTTGGACGCAAACGCTACGGAAGTTCTACTCAAGTGCAACGGATACAGTTCGCAAGTGCTACGCAAACGGTACAGATGTGCTACGCAAACGGTCGATTCGTATGTGGTGACAAGAACGGGTTTAAAAACGGAAGCATATAAACCATCTAAAAGGAAACGAATATACCTACAATGCATAGGACGAAAGGTCAGTAAACTGTAGGCTACAAAGAGGCACACAAGAATGTTTAAAACTTTGCCACTTCCTTTGGATAATGGAATGAGCGTGAAACAAACAGAAATGTCTCGTGATTTATGAAGATCACAAAGACCTGTCGTACGCTAACAGATCAACGCGACACACAGATAATAATAAATTATGGTCAGAAGTAGTTCCACCTGCTTACCAAATGAAACGTCAGGCGTCGTGCTTCGAGTGAAACTTACTGGTGTAGTTTACCAATTCTACATACTTGTAAAAAGATGCTTAGATGACGAGGACCAAAATTTATACTCAAGAAGGGGGTGTTGACAATGTTGACAGGGCTAAGCCACAGGAATTCAAAAAGCAGAAACCTTCAAAAGGCTTCTCTGAAACTAAATGGTGGTTTTCTCCAATATCTTATAGAATCTGGGACAAGAAACACAGAATCGCTTGTGATACAAGGGAGATAACTCTTTAAGGTTTCAAAGCATTTGTGTTTTAAGGCTGAGTAAAGATTTTATTTAGCAGTTTTAACATTTCAGACAATCAACTGGATCAAATATTCAAATTTTATATTAAATGCTATATACAGACCCGTACACGTTTGCTGTTCCATCTTGGACGCGAATGCTACGGAAGTTCTACGCAACTGCTACGGAAACAGTACGCAAGTGCTACGGAAACGGTACAGAAGTGTTACGCAAACAATACGGAAACAGCACGGAAGTGCTACGGATGACTCTTACAAACGGTACGCAAGTGTTACGGATAACGCTTACAAACAGTCGATTCCTTTGTGGTGACAAGAACGGGTTTACATAAAAAACGGAAGCATATAAAACATCCAAAACGAAACGGATATACCTACAATTCATAGGACGAAAAGTCGGTTAACTGTAGGCTACAAGACGGCACATAAGAATGTTTCAAACTTTGCCACTTCCTTTGGATAATGGAATGAGTGTGAAACAAACAGAAATGTCCACAAAGACCTGGCGTACTAGCGCTAACAGATCAACGCGACACACAAATAATAATAAATCATGGTCAAAAGTATTTCAACCTGCTTTACCAAATGAAAGATAAATTAATATTGGCAGTAAGTAAAATAGTAACGTTATTTTTAACGAGAAATGTAATAATTCATAGGCAAAATAATAAAAAAATGAAAGAATTTCAGACTCCTGTGTTATGGGTGCGATACCTCTATGTCCATTCTTTTCCTATCGTCGTACATACTTCCATACATTTCTAGATTTTTCGTAGGAAGTTTGAGACCGATAACTGGTTCAATTATTAGTACATGCAAATACGTGCATTGCAAGTTTGAAATTTGTAATACCCTGTCTTATAGGGACCAAGGAACCAATTTTTTTTCCATTGACAATAGTGTTAACGTTTATACTGTCCTGGTTAAATGGGGTTATCCACACTGGTTTACCTGACCTCATTTTGAAGAATAGCATCTCACACAACTGTTAAAAAACATATTTCAAAATCTGCCCATTTGAACTTTTTTTATAAAGGGGCTGCCATCTTGTATTGAATTCGGCACCAAAAATCGACCAAAATTTACAACAAATTACACACTTAATAAACTCCCCCAGACAAAATCAGACTTGAATCTATTTTTGTATACATATTACATCTATATATATTGGTCAACCCACATATAAAACTTTTGAAGCTTCTGCCACCTTAATATCCAACCAGCAGGCCCCGAGGCATTCACCTTCCTATTAAATCTTCTGCCCAAAAGGGAAAAACCCAAAATCTATTTTGATTAGGTTCGGTGGTCCCATAGGCCTATTAATTCAATATCATTCATTTTGTAATACATATTTTATATATACTGACACGCAAAAGAAACTGTAATTTTCGATTGTGGCAAGAAAACAGTCGACTGAATTTGTCATTGGAATTTTCCGACTTCAATAACGAGTCTGACCTACGTAAGCAGCGAATTCTGAGTTAATAAGACGTCTTTTTCTACCATAGGGATGTTCTGCCACTCTTCGAGAAGCGCATGGTGCAGGACGGGTAGAGTCTGAAGTGGATTCGGGCGAGTTCGAATGCGTGTTCTATTGGCGAGAGATCGGGGCTGTTTGGGGGGCCAAGGTTAAGTGTCGGCATTGTTTTAGAGAAGATAGTCAATTTCACGTGCTGGACAGACAATGCACTGGTTTACTCAACATGGAATCAATTGCCTTGAAATCCGACCATCAAGAACCAATGAAGTTGTTATTCCCTGCTTAACGTTAAGCATTAAGGGGAAAAGTAACAACTACTTTACCCATTGTAAGTAAAATGTTACCGGACGGAATGCTTTGCTGGGGGCCTTCGGCATGGTATTTCAGTGAGATAGCATTATTAAATCGGCATCAGAACAGCGCTATCACAAGGAGGCAAGTCTACCAACGGACCCCGTCTTCGGCACACATACACACATGCACGCTTACACAACACAAATAGAGGTACGTCTTTAAATGACATTAGCTGTTAAAATGACATTAAACAAATTAAAACCAAGCCAGACCAATCATATGATTCTTGCTTTTGCGACGACGTTAAATACGAAATAAACAAAATCATTGACCAAACATTTCATACAATGGTTGTTTTATCTAGTTTACAATGGTTAAAGATGAAAACATTGCATTTAAACCATTAAGAGAGTCTCCCTGGTCTTTTCCTTTGCAGCTGTCAGCTAGCGGTTAACATGGCTTTAGGCAGCAAAATAATAATAAAAAACACTTTTCGTTCTAACACTTACTTTTATCGAGTTATTGTGCTGTTTAATGTAATTACTGACCCTCAAAACATATATTTAGACCCAAAAACCATATAAAACGGACATCTAGAAGCAAAGATATGTATTTTTATGATATACTGGACGCCGGTTAGCGGCCATGCTGAATTTTCGCGTCTGACCGAGTTAGCCCACATTTTCACGAGGTTCACTCAGGCTCATTTTGATCAGCACCTTCAAATTGACCAAAATAAACTTTCAAACCATTGTCTGGGAAAAGTGGTTATGAGACCCCATTGTGGGAACTCTGCTATGATGATTGGAATAATTTTCACGTCATGCGGTTTATACTTATTTCTTTATAATCAACAATTTGCTTTGACATATATATATTCCTCAAAAATTTCAAACGAACGGTTTCACAATCGCTTTTTTAATGGAAAGATGTAGACGCAAGGTCTACGAAAACAATACGGAAGTGCTACGGAAACGCTACGCAAGTGCTACAGAAATGGTACGGTAACGCTACGCAAGTGATGCGCAAGTGCTTCGCACTTCGCAAACGGTACTGAAATGCTACGCAAACGATACGCTGAAAGTGGAACAGCGAACCTGTACGGGCTTGTACCATGGTTTTTAGCTTGACCCCGTTTCCTATGGGCCCATGGGTTTTTGTTGTCGGTCAGAAGTTGTTGGCATCCCCACTCCATACCAATAACTATGATGAAATAATTCATATCCAACTCCTATTAAATTGTAATTTGTAACAGTATACTTACTTTGTGAATGCCGAGTGCGGTTATCTTCCACGCCATTTGACGTATATATTTGATAAAATATTAATGATTGGGTTATTTAACAACGAAACGATTTTGTGTATACACATTTTATCTGACGGGAAGTTATCTGAAAACCATTCACGAAAATATGTTTTTTGAAGATTACTCTATAAAAACGGATTAATATTTTGACATGATTTCAACAACAATCAAAATTTTAACGAATTCTCATTTTAAAAAAGGCATTTTTTAAGCACATAATACCACCAATGTGTGATACGAACTTTCATTTCCTGTACCGTGAATGTTCGACTGTTTGAGTAGTTAGGATGTTGTAGTTATACAAGATAGTGAAATGTATCTTAGTGGATCATAAGTACTCCTTATCTTATGTTTTCTCACTGTTTAATTTAGATTATAGAAATTTGGACGAATAATTAAATGTTTAAACTCTTTACGTTAACAGATGAGGCAATTGTTGTGTCAATGAAGAAGAAAGAATATCGAGTAAAGGAGGGTAATGTAGCTTTCTTAGACTGCACGGTGGACCCACAACCGAAACGTATCATCTGGAAAAAGGGAGACAAAAACCGAGTAGACATACGAATCCCTTTGAACAGTCAAGAATACCATTGTACAGGTCCGCCTAACCCAACACTTGTGATACGGTCAGCAAAGAAAGAAGACACAGCTTACTATCAATGTACTGCCAAGGATATTGATACCGCCAATAATATTGAAATAGAAGTTAAAGGCGTTATTGTTCCATTAATAGTGGGTAAGTGCAGAATAGTTATGTTATGCAAAATCGAAGAGGGATAATCTCTCTTTTCTGTCAATGTCGAAATGGAAAGATTATTCGGGCATTCATTTGACAAGGTTTTCCTGAGTTAAATATAGAAACGGTGAATAAAGCGTTTTGTTTTTCTGAAAATGGATCCGATGTATATTATATTTTTTTCAGTGATGTCATGATTATTAAGGGATAAAATGCACATAAATGGACCGTAAATCTGTTATATGATTTCGCAGGTATTTAGATGAAAGCAGTCAAATATCTATTTTTTAAGCCGCAGGCCTAATCTGATTGTAAATAAAGTACCTCTTACCATATGCATATTATACCCAGTGAAGCATTTGTCAGTAACATTCTGGACTTTACTTTGGTAGAAGAAGAACATTTTATTTCAAAGTAATGAAATATATGAATAACTATTCTGTTAAAGCGAGTTTGAAAATACAATTCTAGTGTGCTATTGCATACATAAAACACGTCGATCTCATTCTTTATCAGCTTCAGGAGCAAGTGGGTCGGACGGTTACAGAAATGACAGATCGAGGTCTCGTTCTCGGGACAGGCACAGGGAATCTCGCAGGTAGAAACAGATTTCCTTTAAGTATTAATATAACAGGTATATTGTAATTTCTGTTTCAACACATAAGGGAAACAAGACAGTAGCAACATGTGGTATATCGAAGCCGATAATCGAAAAACTGTATAAAAGTACGACAAAAGACGACCATGAGAAACATCGAATTTGATTCCATCTTTTGTATTAATAAAAATAATGAATTACACCAAAACTATATGACCAATGTTATCCATAATTATAACTTTTGAAGTTAGTTTAGTAAATAAATAAAATGTTCCATTTATTTTTTATTGAATTTCATCAGAAATACGTCAGAATGTTTTTGGAATATGGGCTGAAAGAGCTACAATAATATGTTGTATCTCGCCCTTTTTTATTTTTAATTACTTTATTACGTTTACATAAATAAGGTAAGGCATAAAACACACATAGCAATATGCATTGTAATTTGTTTTGACTGTATACTTATTCTGACCTTAAATGACCACAGTTGGCGATGAGAAGTTAAACTCAAACAAACAAACTGACTGCTGATTGCATGGTCAATACCTATTAAGGCAATTATCACTAATGTTGGATTATTTTGTGTCGTTTTGCAGTCGTTCACCGGAGGACATGTATGAAGGGGAGCAAACAACTAGAGGTACTGATAAACTTATATATCGAATAATATCATTTCTTTTTGTAACATGACGACAAGGCGACTTCAAAAAACCTTAGTCTACATTTGTCATGGTGATGACAATAAATTGTATTCAGTCTTTTTGGACGTAATAAATAATTTTAGAAAAACAGTTATAGAAAGAACGTTCACCAAAATTTAAGGTTTTCGTCATAGGAATAATAGAGTTAGGGGATAGTACGTTGTTTTGAGTAGCTAAACTGGTATATTGATCTATCGGTCTCGAGTTCAAACCCAAATTTCATGTTCTAATCGCCAGTATAGACACGAAAAACAACGTACTATCCCCATTCTAACACACCTTAACAAATATACTACGCTAATATGTTTAGAAACATTGTATTTCCCTGTACAAAAGTACTTTGTGACCTGAACTGGCGACGTGTCATTCTGCAGCGGACTGACCAATCGGAAAGAAGCTTTCAAAAGTCGGTCATTTAGCCCCGCCCATACTGGCGAGCGCTCGATCTGTATGTTGACGAGGCAGAATATTTGGATTGTTCGTGAACGTCCTGTTACGAAAGTTTATACGACACATTCGGATTATTATTGACCAAGTTCTTATATTTCCATGTCAGTATGCATACCAATCTGTGCTTATCGACAAAATCGGTGATTATTTTTATAGATTTGTGAAGAGTTTTGTGTCAATGCATACGACACATGTGAAATGTTTGATTTGATTTCGGATCTAAATAGATGCCTTCACACGAATGGAAAGAACGTTTCAGTAATATATGGAGGTAAGAACAAGAAATGTGTTCTTTTTACTTTTTAATTCATTCAACCAATGCATTTCATCGGTCGTTTCTGTTCTGTTGCCTATTAGCCTTATCAGCGGGATTTCGCTATGATGCGAGCTTGACACCATATTGTTTTTGTTGGAAACGGGGCGTGGCTTAAGAGCGATGGGAGGAGCTTAACACGATTGATCATGATTCTATCGCAGATTAGAACATGGTCCGTATCCAATCAAAACACGCGTTGCAAACGAATCGTGTTAGAATAACTATTAGTAGGAAACAGGTCACTAATGCCATCTGTTTTACTTCTTTTATTAATTCCTTTTTTTTTCATAACATGAAAACGTTTCTGGCCACTAGAGTTCCTTTATATTCCAATTTTCTTCGAAAACCAGACGGATTGTTTTCACTTTATTAAGTCTCCCGTCTCTTCATACTGTTCCGTGCAACTGTTCCACATTGGTTTCCAAAGCATTTCTTCACGGATATGATTTCTGTCAAATGAGAAGTAGACTTATAATAGCAACATTATTTGAAATAAACATAACCCGTTCTTAATAACTAGGATGAAGGTTGCTTCATTGACTAATGGACGATGGAGGAAACAGTGTGTTCAGCATTAATTTTCTGACGCATGATTGCATATTTCCAAAGGTTAGTTATGAATAGGATAGAGTTTAAGTATATTTTGCAGATGCAAACAATTATGTAGTCTTAATTTTAATTAGTTCAAAACTTCGAACACTGCTAGTATAAACTTACAAACTGCTTCATTTCTAAAAGATGGTGGAACACTCAGAATATGATACGTATAACAATTTGTAACAGACCTTTTCAGGTCTACGACCTATTTCTTTTCAACAACTTGATGCTGATAAGAGATGTATTGTCGCTTATCCAGAATTTGACGAGGTAAGAAAAGCCTGTTGAGATTGTAGGCATCGTTTGAACCTGTCATCAAATTCAAGCGCAGTAACATCTCTCACATGTCGAAATATGAATGTTTAATAATATTTATCACATCGCTACAGTGATTCCTTAACTGCATACATGTTGACCTGTTATAAATGCATGGTGTGTTTGTATACAGGAAATGAAATAAGGATTGATATTTTTCCGTGCAATTCAAAAATCTCCTTTTAATCGGTGAGGCCAGGCCAATAACTAGAACAGCAACAGAGGAACACCTGACATCATGCGTTGTTTCCCACATAAAGTTGATAAATACAAATAATCATTTGTTTTTGATTTGTTAAAAGAAGATGGTTTCGTTTTATTTTGCTTCGCTTAACGTCCAATAAACAGCTTAGGTAATTTAAGGAAGTGCCTCCATGTGTATTGTAAGCGAGCATGTGTGTATGAGTGCTTAGTATGTTGGTGTGTTTGCCTCCTTGTGACAGCGCGGATCTGACGCACCGAGCACAGCATTCCGCCGTGTCACATTATACTGACAAAGTGTTGACGTTCCTCTAAATGCTTAACGATAAGTAGAGAATAAGATTAATATTTGAAAGGAATGAAATAATTATATCAAATTACCGTCGATGAATTGATGAAGGTGCTGCGGAGCGTTTACAATAATATGTTTTGAAGAGCTGCTTTCTGAGGGCGTATTCGTACACTTGTTTGGGGCCCTAATATAAACACAATCTACATGTAGGGAACAAAAGTGCTCTTTCAGCAAAACGTGCGTGATGTTTTTTCAATGATTTATTCCAAATTTATTCAATTTGCCGTTCAATTATAATTCCTGTGATGGTATATAAAACAAGCATTCACGCACATATGTATAAATCAAGAATAAATATAAAAGAGGTCGTATAAGATATAACGACAAAATGATCAAATACTGGCACGGGATCCGAACAAACAATTGTTGATAGGATGCGCATTACTTAAAAAGATAGATGGACAAATATTGACAGTGTAGACAAATAAATATGTCAAATTTTCAGGGCGATCTGCCCTTTATCAAGACAGAAACATGAACATTTACATATCACAACATATAACAGATATAAATAGTCACCGTATAACAATGATACAAGAAAAAAACGGTTTAAAAGGAAATTTTAAAGGAGGATGGTATAAGCAGACTCTGCAGGGGTCAATACCTAAGTCGCATCAAGGGGTCACGTTGTGGTTACAGGCAGTGTGCCAGCGATCCTGTAATCTCTGCATTGCCACTCATGAGTCGCCGCAGGGGTCGAGTATAGGGCATAGATAGTGGGCCAATGATCCTTCCAATAATTATAAGTGGACAAATAAGCAAAAATGATAATAAAGATAAAAGGATTAATAACGTAACATAAATTGAACATACGTCGGAGGTTCTGGAGACTAATTGTGACATGCTGGTAAGCAGCAGATGTTGTTGTACATATCAATGCATCAGAGCTAGCCAGGCCTCTTGTAAATATTTGTTTTATCAATAACTTAATAGGATATGATTTGATACAGAGTGCAGTGAGAATGTATTTTGATGTTTCATTACAGAGCTAACAATGCAACTATGGATGTCTGGTTGTGGAATGAAATTTACTATTATCCAACGCGACGAAATTGCCCTTGCCAGAGTAGCTTCAATCATTACGCAGGAATTTGTTGCAGCTACAGCTACAGGCGAAAAACGACTAGATACTGTTGATTTTGAAACAAGTAAGTAGATGTTAAAAAACACTTTACCGTTTTAACTGAGAGTAAACTGCGAAAATCAAAATAGTCACGGCGGTGTCGATTTCAAAATATCTAAAATCTTGGAAATCCACAACCATGTTGTTTCGTGGTGTAATGTTTACACGTTTTGACTTTTATAAGTAGTTGACCGACGTATGGATATGCAACATTAAAATCATTTGTTTGAAGATTAAAAAATACATAACAGCTGTTTGGATCTGGGACATGATCGATAATTCATGTTTTATCAAAACAAAAAACTTAATTTTCTAATTGATTCCAATCTCCTACATTTATGAAGACATTTATTCAATTTGATGCGAATAGTTATTCTCTTCTTCCAAGTATGCTGACATAATATCGATTGATATCCCCCTTACTCATGAATAAACGAATGCTAGAGATCAAGTTGTAAATATATATATATATTCAATTAAAGTATATCAATTCTATCTTCTTGTAATATGATGTATATGTACATGTTACTGTTCTGTTTCACTGTGTCTTGAAAAAGGAGCGGATCGCTCCGAAAATTTGACAACCTAAACTTGTCCACACTGTTGGAATTACTTCTTTGCCCCATATATTTATATATAGATATAGGTAAATATATCTTTCAGAATGTATACGAGTTCTCATTGAAATCAAGGGAGCAAGTAGTCTGTCAGAAGCGCCTGCAGTCTGTCTAGCTGAACAGTTCAAGCATTATATATTGGATGTTGGATTACAACTATCAGAAGAATCAAATGCCATTTTAGAAGTAGACGAATCAAGCATCGAAATAACACCGGAGCATATGCCTGAAGATGGTAAGTTACATAGTTTTGGATTTGATATAAACGACCGTTGAATATGCAATCTCATATATTTACTTACTTACTTTGTTGTTTTTAGGACATCCTCTTGTGAACATTACTCACCAAGAGTTTTTCGTTCCTAACAGCGAGGCGGTCATCTTGCAAACATATATCATCTCATCACCACCAGCGTGGTCAATCGAGTGGTTTCAGATAAAAGCTGAGGATAACGAGATTTCTTTAGAAATAAACAGCAAGAAATACTATGGAGGCTCTGAGCTTTCACCTTCTCTGATCATCCGAAACATCAATGTTGATGATCAAGGATGGTATATTTGTCGGGCTACAAATAACAATGGAACTGGATGTAGCAATAAAACGTTCGTTCGGATAAACAATGGTACGTATCTCTTATAACGCATTTGCAAGGTTTGAAGGCGAAAATATCACAATATTATCTATTAATTCATATAGTTTAATACTTTAGTTTGCACTGAGGTAAAACTATGATCAATATCGAACGACAAAAATAATAAGGCAGATCATATTAACATGGATATTGACGGGGCAGTACGTTATAAAGGCGTGAGATGTTTTGATCGATTCGTTTTGACGCAGAAATAGCCCTTAAAAAATGAGATACATCACTGGCCCAGCGTTGACGTGTTATAACTGTTGTCTTTGGATGGATACACATTTTGTTCTTTTTTTTAAAATATTCTGAAATGGGCGCAAACAAAATGTTATCTTGTCATTGCGAACAAATGGACAATATCCAACTCAAATAAAGAATATTTTCTTTATTTCTTTTTAACATTAAGGTTTTACATTGTACAAAAATTACATTTAATAAGTCTATCTATATTGCAAAAGTAGCCCTAGCATTTCGAAGACGGATGTATAATTATGTTATCTATAAATATGACTAAAGGGAATTAACGCATTGTAGTAAACATAATGAACAGCTTGCACAGAGTATAGCTTAACTAGTGTTATTTGATAAACAGAACCAGCAGGAACAGAAGACAATCCTGGAACATTGGTAAAAGATACCAGTGACATCCAAGGTAGGATCCTAATAATATACACTGTATTTCGCTTTACTAGCAAATGTATCGATGAATGCACACCCAATATATAACAGGAGATGAGCAGTCTTCAGTGTCATTCACCCAATACGTATTGCTCCGCTTACTGGAGTTTTCATATCCTAACCTAACATTACAACGGGACAAGCTACACACAATTGTGTGACGCTCTAAACAGTAGATGTGGGAACTATGGCCTATGCATTTCAGCCTGCTACATTAATGAATGGACCACAAGTTAATAAGTTTTAGGAATCAATTTCATTTCTGCTGATCAGATTTCAGAACTAAATAGTAATAAACCATGCATAGACAAAAAGCGTGGATATAAGAAATAGTTTTCTATTTTGGGAAGATTTTGAGGTATTCGCCTTACTTAATAAAATCTGTTTCTTTAAATGGAATAAAGAAGGAAAAAGGTAGTCAATATCGTCAACATCGATGTAAATCAATAAACCAAATAGTTTTTATGCTACTTGCAAGGTTGCATAACACATGTAAAACACATTCCGATCGGGTAAAAACGAATAAAGTAGCATCATTCATAGTAAAATCATTCACAAAGTACAATTACAATATTTGTACTGCTGTTTATTAAACAAAACTTCAGTATACATATTCAATACATACACCCAACCTTGTAGCCCATCAACAAAGGATTAAAAAAACTTGGCCCCCTACCCTCTCTTATCTCATATGTCGACGAATAGTGTGCCTCATTGTGGGCAGAGGGGCGGGGCCCATTAGGGAGACCGTAGGGAAATTTATTAAGCTCCTTCATCTTCTGTATTAATGATTGAATTTGAACCAAATTTAGTGAAGAGCATCCGTGGCCAAAAGGGACTTAATTGTATATACACGGAATGTATCCCCCAACGATGGGTCTGAGGGGCGGGGCTGAAAAGAATGCTGAACTTGAACATTATCGAGATCCCCGCCCTATAGCCATGTTAACAATTGCTGAGCATCAGGAGAAAAAACACAATCTTTATAAAATGTTTGACTTTGGGATATGGCCTCACTCCGAGTGATTAGGTTTCTGTGCCATGATTTTGAAATAGTTGAGATCCCCACCGCAATACTATATACGTATACAACATTGCTGAGCATAAACAGACAAACGCAATCATGATTTTAATATTGACTCTTAGGTCTTGCCCCTACCTAAGGAACTTCATTTTTTGGCCATAACTTTGAAACGGTGGAGATTCCAACAGCAAGTGTGTCATCTTGCAGAAATATATCATCTAGTCGCCACCAGCTTCGTCGATCGCGTAGTTGAAGATAAACGCTGATGATAACGATATTTCTATAGAAATATACAGCAAAACATACTATTGAGGCTCTAACCTGTTGATGATCAAGGTATCAGGTTATAGATAACAATGGTCTGGATGTAGCAATAAAACGTTCGTAGAAGGTAAAGAAATAACCATCGGTCTCCTGAGTGAAATTAACTTATCAGCCCAAACGTGTTATTGTTGTTGCATGCAATGAGAATCATAAAACAAATGACCCGCCTAACGGATA